ATTTCTCACTGCAGTAAATTGCATCAGACTTACTACACACATGGAACAAAACGAATACAAACTATTTGGCAATGCTTCCCCATGACCTGCACTAGTGATGAACACACTAACTCATCTATTTAGAAAAGCAGACCTAATCACGGCATCAAAGACAGAACAAATTCAGATTGTCTTGCTCTGAATATCTGGAGGTTTCTCCTCAATTTATAAATGAGTGTAGCAATTCCAATTTAATGTGGTCCTGTAGGTAATTATACCTCATGCAAAATGACACACTAATGCAATACAACCAAGAGCACTGGCCCAAACAAGAGAGATCTTTACATTTCAGTTAAAATTGATTTAGCTGAAGGTTTGAATTCATTTACAATTAAAGAAAATGTATTTTATGCACTTTGCAACCTTTCCTCCAAAGTTTAATTTGTCAACTTTTTCTATTAATTTACCCACAAGAAATTCCTTGAGGCTTCACACAAATTGCCTTTCTACTTTCTTTTTGTTGTTTTTCACTAAAGTACAGAATAAACTTTACTGGAGGGCAAAGTACAATTTAACAAAACAATTTTAAAAAGTGGGAGCTCATTCTGTGGCAAAGGCTAAATTATATCTTCCAAGAATCACATTTGGCAGGAGTCTTAATGCAGCAGACTGCCTTGGTTTCCAGAGGTTACGTCTGAATTAAGAGAGAGCCAGCAACACCAGCCCAGAAACAGTAACACAACATGTGAAGGAGAGCTGGAGCAGAGAGCTAAAGACCATGAAAAGTTCAGGACTTTCTGAAATTGAATTTAGGATGTAAAAGCTGCTTACTGCTCAAGCAAGTACCATCAAGAACACACCTTTCATTCAGTACATTCCCTGGCTCACTCATGCCTGGAAGAAGCCAGAAGTCTTCCAATTGACCTCCTTCCCCACCCTCTATCCGTTTGGCAAGCGTGGAAGAACAAGACATAGTGACACTAATGCAAAAGGATGTAACACTTCATACTCAAGGAGTAAAATATGAATTTGAGTGACACAGAGATGGGGCCAGCAAGTCTCCCCTTTACAACTACACAGGCAGAAGAAAGGCGGTAACAACACACATTTTAAGGGTATTCACGCTCCCGCTCTTCTGCACAGGTGCTGCTGGTACATGGAAACACCTCCATCCCTTGAATGAACTCAGGAATATTTTGAAATTATGACCACACGGAAAAATTCCGCATTTGGAGACATTTGCTTTTCAGTCCAGGACTGATCCCAAGAACAGCATGTATGTGGTTATTGGTTGGTTGTGTTGTTTTTAGTTTTTTTGGTTTTTTAATATACAACTTCCTCTTGGCTGGATCCCTAAAGTTGTAAATGACACATTCTATGTTTTAATGTATGCCATAATCTCGTTTGCCTTTTTGTTTCCATAAAATGTTAAGTTTTATGGTGCCAACAACATAGCTAAATTCTCTCCATTTAAATAAAGCCCTTTAATTGAAATTTATTCTCATGTGTATCCTGAGCTGAAACGGAAAACTATTTCTATTCAAAGGACCAGAAAGAATATTCTTAACTTCTGCAATGCAATAATTCAATTTTTGTTCCTCCACTAGTTTTTCTGTTTCCCAAAGTGGACACATTCCATCCTTTATGTCAAAATAGAAACTGCCTCCAGATGCCAAAACAGCTCCCAGGAGGAAAAAAAAGAGAAGGAAAAAAAAAAAAANAGAAGGAAAAAAAAAAAAAGAAAGAAAAAAAAGAAGAAAGATGTGGAAACGAAAAGCAGGAAAAAGATTAGGATTTTGACCACTATAATGAAGATATGATGGTCAATTTGCTGCAATGATATATACTAAAACTGAACACAACAAAGGTGTGGTTTAATGGGTAAAAGAATGCATACATTTACAATGCAGTCCATAATCCAAACAAAATGTAGATAAACAACAGAATGATGACTCCTAATACTCTCAACTGTCAGCAGAAATCTCTCCCGTTATAGAGAAATTTTCCACAAATACTTGATGATCAAACTAAAAGAACCCTTCTATCAACAAATCCACTCCCACAATTTACATTTTTCCGTACTTATAAGGAAATTCTTCTTCACACGATGACTGCTCCATTCATTGCACTCCACCTCCAGTAATAACATGATGAATTAAGTCAAACATGTATAAACCAATGGGTGGAAAACTGCCTTTTCAACATAAATACACAGAAATCCTTAAAACAGTTTCAATAAGAAAGATAGCACTCAAAAAAATGCTCGTCAATGGCAAAGATGAATAGGAACTGATCTGCAAAGCAAATACATTTCCTCTGGATACTGATACAGTGCATATGAGAGCAGGAATACTGCTGTTGAGGCTAGGTTTGAATGGGCCTTTAGAGAAGGTTCAACAAGGTTCAAGTGCTGGGTCCTACACTTGGGTCACAACAACCCCAGTTGAACATCAGGTGGCCAAGAAGACCAATGGTACCCTGGCTGGATCAGCAATAGTGTGCCCAGCTGGAGCAGGGAAGTGATTATTCCCCTGTAGTGAGGCCACACCTTGGGTGCTTTGTCCAGTTCCAGGCTCTCACTACAGGAAGGACTCAAGGTGCTGGAGTGAGTCCAGAGAAGGACAACACAGCTGGGGCAGGGTCTGGAGCACAAGACTGATGAGCAACTGAGGGAGCTGGGGGGATTTAATCTGGAGAAGAGGAGGCTCAGGGGTGACCTTATTGCTCTCCACAACTCCCTGAAAGAAGGCTGTAGCCAGGTGGGGGTTGGCTTCTTCTCCCAGGCAACCAGAACAGGATGAGAGGATATAGCCTCATGCTGCATCAGGAGAGGTTCAGTTTGGATATTACGAGGAATTTCTTCATAGAAAGGGTGATTAGAAATGGGATTGGGCTTTCCAGGGAGGTGGTGGAGTCACCATCCCTGGAGGTTTTTAAGGAAAGACTGGAAGAAGCACTCAGTGCCATGGTATAGCTGACAAAGTGATGTTAAGTTACAGGTTGAAATCCATTATCTCAGAGGTCTTTTCCAAACAAATTGATTCTGTGATTCTATGAAAATAGTAAAATGATAGAAGAGCAGAAGCACTATTTATATATCAACATCCTTTCAAACAGGCACATATCCTGCATAGTAGTAACACTCTTGGAAACCTGAAATTGGATCTGAGCCGAAACCATGAGCTGGATGGTGAGAAAAATTGGCAGGACAGCCTTCTGAGCAACCACCAGCTGAATGAAGCCTGGAGACACTCACAAGGGAACTCTACTGTGAGCAGGGAAATCAGGCATTTAGAATCTCATAAAATGAACAGCACTGTGCGTAAGATACCCAAGTAGCTTTTGTTTTCCAGGAAAATAACCAGAGACCCCTGTATTTTGGGTTATTTCATGAACCAAGAAAGGTAAAAGTCACAGCTTTTGTCATACTGGTTCCTTGCACAAACTCTCCGATTAGCAGTGAGCCCCAGCAGTTTTTAAAAGCTGTGCAAATGCAGTAACTTCTGAACAGCATGAGGCAAATGTTGCAAGTGGAACTGGGAAAAAACAACTCAGTGGTACCACCTATGTGATGTTTACTACTTCTTTTTTGGGAGTACATTTGTCATATTATGTTATAAATAGCATTCCCTAAAAGAAAAAGAAGTGTAATATAAACTAACACCACTGATATTCCACCTGTCTCAGGTGTCCCTAAATACACTTCCCCAGCAGTACTTCTGCCCCTCACAGCAAACTGGAAATAAGGAGCCAAGCAGGAACTCTTAAGTAGTGTTGAATTTCATGCTGTTTTGTGAAGAAATATAACTGAAAAGTAAAACCAAGCCAGGAGATTTATTTTCACTTATCTAAGTTAATCTTAAAAAAGACTAGAAACGCTACAGCAGGTTTCTACAGGTGACAAATTATCATAGTTCTTCCAGCCTCAGTCTACTGGTTGTTTTTACTGAGTGAGCAAGTAACAAACCCAGATCATCTCAGCGTAAGAACTTTCTGCTGACTTACTAAAAGGCAAACACATTTTCTACATTTCTCTGCTGCTTTCACTTATGGCATGCTCATTTGATTGCAACAGTGAAAGCAGAAGGCTACCTCAAGACACCCTCAATATTCAGCATTTGAAGGGTGTCAGTCTGGTAGGTGCCTTACAGAAGATTGTCACTTCAGTGAGAGTTATTATGCAATCCTTTCCCATGCAACAATACAGCTTTTTCATTGACACATACCCAGTGCTCCTTTATAGACTGCTTTTGATTATAAAACCAGAATTCAGGGAGAATGAGAGCAAGATTTTCTGAAGATTGAAGAGGTTATATAAATTATATTTCTGTGACTATCACAAGCCTCCATTGATGTGTTGGTTGTTAAATGATTATTAAAAATTCGTATCTTTATGCCATTTTGCATATTTCTAAAAAAAAAGAAACAGTTGATTTGGACTTAATCACCCTTTTAAAATTGCTGTAGACATGTAGCCTACAACTAAAAAGCGTGAAGTAAAAACCTGTAAAAAAGTGACGTGAAAAAATAGCCCCTGAGTGGCTGTGCAGAAAAGGAACCATGACCTGATTACCTAATTCTCACTACTTTTCCTGAAAGCATGTACTCTGAGGTTAACTTTAGACTCAGAGTCTTCAGAGCATTGCTGAGCTTGAAGTAGGACAGCTCGTGCAGAACTTTAACATTTCTAAAATACTTTCTTTCCAATTGCAACATTCTTATATATGACTGAATAGCTCATTCTGAATTTCTTCATGTCACTGCCTTTTCTTATTAAGCCTAAAGCCTAGCTCCTTATGTTATCTAAAGAAACATGGTTATTAAACAAAGATGCTGTGGTCAGGCACTCCAGCCTAAAATATCATGCAATTATAGAATTTTATCTTCAGAAAATATGGAGTCCCTAGAGAGAAACTGTTTAGCCTACTAGCTCCAAACTTTGACATGTTATTAAAAAACATTATTGAAAATGCAAGTTAAAAAGAATGTTCCAGTTAAAAAGAATTTTCTGTTTGTATCAGGCACGTCTATATGACTTCAAGAAATGTTGAATGTCCAGCTGCCAGGCACTAACCTGTAAAGTGAGAAGCACTAATACAGCTAGAATGGGATTATCATCCACTGGATAGTTATATGGAGGTAAGAGTCAAAAATATCTCAAAGAAGCCAAACTCTGCTGTAAAAGTGAACACCCACCCCTCTGGTGTCACACCTTGGCTCTTTTGTAGCTTGGATCTTTTGCACTATTGAGCATGTTTCATTGGGAATACTCTCCTGACACACCTTCATGCCATTCCCTTGGATCCTGCCACCAGGACCCAGAGTAAGGAAGTTGTAGACTGCAACGAGATCTTCCCCTCAGTTTCCTCTTCTGTTCATTTCAGAAACCAAGTGATTTCAGCTGCTGTTCACAAGGCTTCTGCTCCACACCCATCACCATCTTCACAGCTCTCCTCTGGATCATCTCTAATAGCTTTATATCCTTTTTTTTTTTTTTTTATGTGGCACCCAAAGCTGCACACAGGACTTGACTAAGTTGGTCAAAAGGTAATGCATGGCATTTCATTATTTCATAAGTAAAGAAAGAGTGCTCTTTTCAAAGCAAACCCATTACCACTTATCAAAAGCAAAATTTATGCCAGCATTTGTACCCTTTGTATTTTTAAAAATAAGGACACATGAGGAATATCTCAGGAAATACTTTAGGATTTTTATGTGGGAGGGTGGGTGGAGTAGGGGAGGAGTAGCAGCATAACTTTATCTTTTAGCATTGTGCACAGAATGTAGGTCAGCCTACTCCAATGGAAATACCCCATGCTGATTTTTCACATTCTTGGACATAAACATCTCATGATTTTGTAGGCCAGGAAATTGTGAATTTTATTAATGGTCCTGTCCCAGAATTGTCAGGGGGAACTTACTGCTTGTACCTCTGGACTCCTTATTAAAAAAAAAAATTAAAAATTTTGCTTGTCTAGCAAACTACTAATACAAAGAGATAGCATGTAAATGTTGAGTATTACAGCTTCTATAGTCTATGTCACAACATAATAAATTAGAGCAGCTCAGTTTTTAATTTCTCAGTAAGTACTATTTTGTGCATAACAAATGCAGGATGCATTTATTTCAAAATAAAACAATCTGGAAAATGCCCTTCCTTCCCTATAAAAGCTATTTGTTTACTAATAATGGTTATATTTTACTGTCTAAAATTATAACCTATTTTTAACCTCACATTGTCACACAAAGTTTATGGAGAAAATACTTAAAAAAAGGAAATCAGAGTCCATTTCCCGTTTTAACAAGGATAATCCCTTGACCAGAAGACACAAATATTCATTCCTCTTTAATGTTAATTAGCACACTGTTTATTTTATATGTCGCAGTTTAACGAAAGAAAGCAAGTCGCTGGGAACATTATTAAGTTCAAAACATCTTTCACCTTATTTATCCAGAACTCAATAAAACTGTTCAATCACAGACTTGCAGCCTCCAGCTAGGTTCCTGCTATTAGCCTTAAATCATTTTTAGAGTTTCAGTAAGTTGCCAAGCTCAAATATACAGCTATCTACATCTGCTAGATAGTTTGTCTTACTGGACAGTCTGGAAAAATTTTACTCACTTGATCCAAACCGTAAAGTTTTTTGCTGCTATCAATCTTTTTAAGATTTGCAAATCATCATTTGAAAAATGCATCTGTAAGAATGTTGAAAGGACAATGGTTTTTTTCCTTTAGGTGAGCATAAGATAGCCTCTCAAAAAATTGCACATAGACAGTTTTAAAAAGTAACTATTCCTTCCTTAATGAATGTCTGAATATATAAATTTCCCATTTGAGCCATAGAGAACCTTTGCAGAAACTGCAATTTCTTCAACTGAAGAAGCTTATCAGGCCGAACAAACAAAAATAGGGAGCATAAACATAATTTCATTTTTTTCCCTATACAGAGGAACTGCAGAAAGCTGAAAGTGACAGTATGGCTGCTACTGCCACCACACTGAACCATGTCAGGCAGCAGGGACAGCCATCCTTCCCCAAAGCAAGTCATCCAAAATATCATGAATGGGGGAATAAATGGCTGCCTTCTCTAATGTTTAAGTCTGTACATCTTCCATGTGGATAGCATAATCTAACTCTTAACACCACTGTTTCAAGGCATTCCACAAGCTGACTTTTGAGCTCTTCACATCTGATCAAAGTCCACGTGTACTAGGCTGATTGAATGAGCTCTTAAGCAAACCCATTTACCTGCTCTGGACACACGTCAGGTGTGCTAACCAGCACGCTGGGACCAGGGTGGGCAGCAGCACTGCTGCACCACAGAGAAGCTGCCACGATTCACCCACCTGCTTCCCTCTTTGCCCTGCAGAACACCCAGCAAGAGGCATCCACTAACTGCTCAGACTTGCACGTGCCTGCATTTCCACTGAAATATCCCTATTTCTTGTCTGAAGTCATGCATAAAATCCAAGGGCAGTTGTCCAAAATTGGTGCTGGCTTCTGTCCAAATTGCACTTCCCACTTTTAACTGATACATCTTTGTTAAAAGCAAGCCCCGAGCAAATGAGCTAATGTACATCATCTAAAGAGCCCTACTCGCCATATGGAGTCTTGCTTTTTCCTTCTTAACTGATGCAGCCGTATCCATTCTTATCGGGGATCATGGACTGTAAATTAGAGACAAGGGAATGAAACAGATAGAAGACATACCCAAACTGGTTATGATCACAGGTAGGTCTCACTGGAACAGACAGCAAGGATCTTAATGACTCCCAGGCTCCCTGAAGGCCCTGAGCTTTCCCAGAGGTATGCCTTTGGCTCCATGTGCTCCACAGGTGATTTCCATTTGCCTGCACTGATGGCATCTGCAAGCCTAAGCTTCAGCTGAGTTGATTACACACAACTTCTCAGCTCTGATGAGGGCAAGACATTCACAACCACAATGAACAAAACTGTTTCAGAGCAAAACGAGTTCTCTTGGTTCCTGCACCGCATGAACTTGTCTGCACTAGCCAGGCACTACCCGTGATCAGTGAATCCATGCTGCCTGGGCTGGCGTGCTGAGTCAGCTCATCTGAACTGAAAACATGTGCTCAAGCACTCCCGATCTTGGCACACCAGCCTGGGAAATTCCTCTGCAACTGCTCAGATCCACCATACCTTCCATGCCCTTTCACATGTAAACCGAAGGAGGTTAGATGAAATTCCCTCAAGAGATGGGAGGCCATCAAAATGCATGTTCTGGGGATCAGTCTGAAACTTCTTCTGGCTGAAGTGAAACATGAAAGTCACGTCTTATACTTGTAAATAAGTTTTAAGTTTACCTATTCAGACAAACTACTTTAGGTTACCACTGACATGGCTAAGAGCTTGAACATAATGTTACATTCCTATGGATGTATTTAATATAAATATATTTGGAAAAGATGACCAAGGAAACCTGACTGGTACAAGAAATACACTTGGTTCATTTTTGTCACTAAAAAGTTAATTTTACTTAAAACAAAATTTAAACATTTACATAGAAAAAATTCTCTGACAAGGCTTAAAGTATGGTAAGATGGGAAAATAATTTTGGAAAATAGTGGACACTGGATACAAAGAAATAATTTCACAAGAATCATATTGGAATTCCTTATAATGAAGATTGTAGTATGAAAGAAAATCTCATCAAAACTAAACATTAAATAGTTTACCAAACCACAAGGTCTATTTTCTTATTTGGTAAGTTATGTAGTGATTTCATCCTGTCCCAGAAAAACAGGTTTTCCTTCAACAATTCAGTTCACTGAATAACATACACACACCTATAAAACTTTTTTTCTTCTCAGTAGAAAACAAATCAAAACAATTAATTCATTTCTCTAACTACAAGTGCTGGCCCCCAAGGAATGTAAGGTTAGGTGGAATAAAGCAATAATAAGCTACAAATGTAATCTGGCCAGCAATGGGACATGGTCTTTCATTCAGAAATGGTAAATTATTATGATATAGGTTAAATAATGCTTACTAGCAAACAAACAGCAGTCAAGAGTGACAGCACGAACTATACAGAATCTAAGTAAATGTCTTGCCTCTATTATCTGTCAATGGCAGAGGATGAAAAGAGACTCGTTTATGGGGTTTTTTGGGTATTGTTTCAGGTTGTAAGAGAGTATTTTATCACATGCCTGTGTCACAGCCATAACATGGAGGTATAGTGATCCAAAGCAAAGTATATTTACTCTGTATTTCCAAAAAGCATTGGCTTATCCACATCAGTTTAAAGCAGGTAAAGTAAACAGTAAATGCACAGACTATATGGAAACTTCTATCATGCAAATACATTCTATTCACTTTCAAAAGTTACAGAAATTATAATGATAATTTTGAGCCAGCTAAATTCTACTCTTTTCCTCTTAAATTTAAGATATCCTTAGTCATCAGCAAGGCATGTTCTGCTCTCCTGTAACTACATTCATTACTCACATGACTTCTTCCTGCCCAGATCTTAGGTCATGTCATTGTTTAACTGATGCTTTTGAAAAACCTTCAAAGCTCTTTAACCCTTGTGGCTTATATGTCAGTCTACTCTTCCAATTCTCCATGTACATTTTGGATGTGTCTTCAACTCATTTCACAGGTATCTCCTCCCATCAGTACCACTCTCAGGTTTTTCCTTTCCAGCCAATCCCATCTCTCCAATCCTGCCCTCAATCTTCTATTCCCATCTTCTGATCACAAAAGGCCACAGCCATTCTTGAATCTTAAATAAATCATAGTCCACGCACCTGGAATGCTTGCAAAGGCAAACAATTCTGGCCCAATGCAACAAATGCACCACAACACCATTCCATTATAATCTACAAGTTTTTCCTCAGCCCTTCATCTTAATCATTCATTTAGGATTATTTCTGTCTCATCTACAGAGACCCGCCCCTCTCTGGCCAACTCAATACCATCACAAGCACATCATGCAATCCACCAAGGGCCAGAAGTGGATTTCCTGTTATTACACTAACCTCAGTCTACTAACTAACCTCTCAGTCTTTAGATTTTAGACACAACAAATTGAAGTTGATTGTCCCCACCCTCAATTCCAGCCATCAGTCATACCTATCTGATCACTCCCAGCTCATCAACCCTACCCTAAATAATTTATCAGTCTTCCACCAAGTATAACATCATTCAGTATTTCCACATGTACATAGCTGGTCACTGGATAGGAATGATGCACCCTTTGTAATTCAAAAAACCTCTCTACCTCATTGGGATGACACCTACTGTGATGGATACAAAGGCACATCATCTAACAGGGCAGCTTTTCTTTTCCTGTTACCAATTTTCAATTTAGAACTAAACAATTGTTAAACTACTTTCCTACGTGAGTTGAACTTCATGGCTTTCCTTTACTCTCACTGCTTACACACTTCTTGCAGTAATCTCAAAACCGGCCCACAGAGTCTGTGAGCACCTAGCTTTCACAAATAGCTGTTCTGAGCACTGCTACAACACAGCAGCTACACAACACCAAAGGCAGGTGCCAAATGCCACATTCCCAAGGACGTTTTTTGGACTAAGAGTGATCAGAATACCTAGCAGAGCTTAAATCCTTTGTAAATACAAAACTGAACTGTAAGCTAAAAGTTTTACAAGGCAGATAAAAATTTCACTATCATTTCTGTTTTTGAAATGCTAGCCTGTGTTACACAGATCACCAGGATGAGTTGAGCAATCAAATAATTATTATTCATCTTTCCCATAAAAGCACCTCAGAAAAGTGATAAAATTACAGTTTGGAGAGAATCTGAGCATCATGCACTACTGAAAAATTTCACTTCAGGTGGCCCAGACTCCAGCTCATGTTCAACAGACACTCTCAAAACTTGTTAAGCTCTTAACCACTAAGAAAGAAGAAATTAATTCAATGGGGAACAGTATTTTCCTTCTGAAAGTATTAATAAAAATATTAATACTTGGGAGGTCTTTTTCCTCTTACAACGTCCAGGTAATATTTTGGCAGGACAGTCTTGGCTCTCACCCACAGTGAGGTAGAACTTTGTTCCTCCCATACACTGATTTCAAACTACACTGGGTCACTCCAAGAGTTCCTTCCAAGGGGATATAGTTTCAGCAACTTGAACTTCTTTCTCTACAGGGAGAAAAATATTTCTGTAATAGGTTGACCTTTCTTCAGATATGTTGATATCTGAAGGATGTCAGTTCATTGTGAGAATTTGGAAGCTGGCCATGACTCCAAAGGCTCCACATATTTTCAGAGTGACCATGCCTGCAATTTTAACCCATTGAAATGAAAGTGCGTGGCTGGAGAAGAGAAGTACATGCTTAATAATCCCATTGTGACTCAAACACTGATTTATTTCCTGCAGCAGTGATTTGGTAGCATCACTTCACAAAGGCAAAAGGCAACAGGTTTTATTTCTATGACCTTCCTGCATTCCTGCAACTCACATGAAAAGGAACAATGGAAATGTGGCTGAATGTGAGAAAGCACCAAACTGCTATGGCTTTTTGGGTGGGTGTAGAGAGAAAGACACAAACTACAAAAAATCTAGTAACTCCCCACCCAAGCATTGCTAGTGAATGACCTCACTGGTTTCCTACATATACTCCAGCAGTTTTCCTGCCATCTCTCTGTTAAGCCAAGCAATGATGTCAACAGTCCACCTGTGAGAGTGATGTAGCCCTCTGGGTCATGGTCTCAGAGAACTTGGATAAAAGCTGTGCCAGTGTTAATTAAATGCACCTCTTGTTTCACTGCTGATTTCCTCTGATAAGGCTCAGCTCATTTTTCCTGGAAAGACTTCCATGCTGTATGGGAACTAAAGCCAACCATAACACAAACCAAATATTGCTTAGATTATATGAAGACAACATGTTAAATATTTAGTTTAAAAAAAAAAATCACTGTGTATCAGAGCTAAGATAAATACAAATCTCATTACTTTGCATGTGCTGGTGACAAGGCTAAACTACAAATGCTAGTTACTGCAGATAGTTTATTATCTTTCAGCAGTACTTATTTATACTTATTACAAATAAGAGTATTTGTAATCTCTTCCAGATTACTTTGGAACAGAACTCTAACAACCTGCTTTACTGATCAATTCTAACAGGTTAGAATATGAGAAGTTCACCCAGTAAAAAATATGTTACAAGAATGGAGTCTGACATTTAATTAGCATCAGAATTATCACTATAGCTTTAATGAAAAATAGCATTTTTTCCCTGCTATCAGAAAAGCCTTAGCTGTAAGGAGGTTCTGAGCACTCCCTTAGGTATTAAGGGACGTCTCCATTAATGCAATTAGTCAGCAGTACAGTCAAGCATACAATCAAGCAAGCAGTGGAGGGGAGAAAACTTTTATGCTGCTCCTTCTCTTATTCCTACATAAAGAAATGTAGTCCACTATAATGACTGGATGTTTTCACCATATGCTGTCACTGGGATTTCTGTAATCCCTCTACTAATAGCATTGACTTCCAGCCACTTTAAGCCTTCAGGACATGTCCTTTTATACTTGCTTTGTTCTTGCAGACATTTTCAGATAGCTTCATTAGCAAGAAAATTGCCAAAGAAAGGCTTTCCGTTTTGAAATTAGACATCAAAAATATTTCTCCTTGCACAATTTAAAAAGTAACACTTTTTAAACTGCAACCTAAGTAACCTAAGACTTAGATGCTGACAACAACACTCACAAAAAATCTGAAGGTAACAAATTAGAAAAGTGGTTTCAAAAGTTGTGGAGCAATTATATTATGAAAGTTTGTTTCATGATGCTCAAAACTCTCCACTCTGAAAAGTAGCAAGTTGGACTTCTTGCTAGAAATTTAATTCTAAAGAAAGAACTGTGTCGTAACAATGTTAGGAATACATTCATAGCCATTCATTCATTCTGATTTGTAGCAATTGTGATGGTTCCAAGAAGTGTTCTGTCCCACATTCCTAGGCATTAGCAATATTTTTCCAAACAACCAATGATCGATGTCCATGAATTTGCATTTTTACCTCTTGGGGATCTTATGTTTATACAATACCTCACCTACAAACTCTCTTGGAATACATAACACAGACTAAACTGCCTTCCCAGCTCAGGATATGGGAGAAATTCCATGGCTAATACTGCCTCACACCAAAGTCAGGCCAACTAACTTAGACATGTTTTTTTTTACACGCTCCTCCGAAAAGAGATCTCATATACAAAATGTCCTTCAAAAGATTTTTTTTTTGTTTGTTTCTAAATGGAAACAGAAAGAGGTAATCCTTGAACTTGTTTGGTTTATACTGCTCCTATGGACTGTTTCTATCGATTTATGACACCGAATTGCAGCTAGTTTATAGCAAAGCATGAAGGGTGTGACTCATTCAGCAAGCTCAGCCCAAGAATATTTCATTCTGACATCCAACAGCACAGCTCCCTCATGGATTTGAATTAGTTGCTGCCCATTACTCACATGCACTCCTTCTCATAACTTCATGACACACAACTTGAAGTGCAAACGTGAATCCAGGCCACGAAGGAGATACTAGAAGTTCTGACAAATTTTACCCCTGTCACCAGTAACTGGAATTTGGTCTTACACAATTTAAATACACAGCTGCGCTCTGCTTCTGGAGGATGTGCATAATGTGGTCATGCAGAAGGAAAGCGTATCCCCAAGTCCAGTGACTTAAAGTGACACAGTTTCCTGAACTCCAGGAACCCTCCTGGTCAGAAAGTACTTCCTTCCTCGTTTCAAACACTTGATTGTTTCAGAGGGAATTCAAAACAATAGATTAGAAACTTTCAACCTTTCCTAAGTGTACTGCTACACAAGGAAATCAGGCCATGCTCTGGGAAGATGAGATAACATTGGGAGAGTACTCATTCCGGAAATGCAATGGCTTTTGCATCCCTTCTCTAGCACCATCCCATGAATCAGCTACATGTAAGTAGTAACTCTAGCTATGAGATGTCAGATGCAGTTCAACTGCTGTTTGGATTAAGATGTGTATGGTTGGCAAAAGGCATGAGCCAACTCACTTCTCAGCTATTTCGATAAGGCCTGTAAGGGAAAAAAGCATCAGGAGCTTCCTAATCTGAGTCTGTACTTGTAAGGATGGATAGGAAAAAAGGATGATGATTGTCTCTTTTTAGCACCTCATTATTTAAATCTCTAATGAAGGAGAAGGAATGTTCTACTATTTCTACAGTTAAAAATCTATCCCTTCCCTCCATAACTTACTTTTACCAGTAGTGATGTTCACAAAGATTAGGAGCAGATCAGACTTATCAACTGAAGAGCAATTATTTTAACCATACTCTGTTCCCCAACACAATTCCTTTAATCTAAATGCATTAAAATGGTTTGTAATGATGGATAAAAGATTTAAAATTTAGAGTAATTTCTAACTAGTTACTTAAAGGTTGCAATTTGAATAAGAAAAGGCAACGACAAGTAAATTAATTTTTCTGCAGCATTAGGGCGCCTAAATACCCTAGACTAACCTAAGAACAACAGCAACAGAAACAACTGCAAGAGCCATTCTCTCAGACCCGACAGTCAAAGCTCTTCTATGACATTGCATTTTCTTGATTATCTTTTCCTATCATGTAGAGCTACATGAAGTTTGAGGGAAAGATTATTATACAAAAGCAAGAACTCACATGGTTCTACACATTATTTTTGGAGGCAAACAGGAAATGCACTTCCCTGTCAAGCTGGGTGAAAGGGGAGTAAACGAGTCGAATGCTTTGCACTCACCGTTCCTACCAGAGGGTAGATGAATCCAGCTCCAATGCTGGCTCGCACATCGCTAATTGGCAAAATGAAACCAGTGGGAACACCCTTCCTCTCAGGCTGATGGGAGAGGGATAGGTGAGTTTTTGCCATACAAATGGGAAGATTTCCAAATCCCTATCAAAAAAATTGAAAGAAAAAAAAATGTTTTTAAAATCACACTAAAGGCACATTATGTTTTTGTTTTGTTATCAGTATCTTCTAGAAACCTCTCGTACAGCTGTTCCCTGGGCTCTAATGACCCAGTTAGACACCAACTTGACTCCAGGATTCACAGTCAAAAATTTTGTAAGGGTATTAATGTTCTCTTGAGGGTAAATACAGATGGTGCTCATGATGCTTTCCTTTGTTTTTAAACAAGACAAAACCTGCAGGAGATGATGGAACCCCCTTCACTAATGTCAGTGCACTAATTACTGAAAATGTGGGAGAAAATCAGGAAAAGTGCCTCAGCAGCTCCCCCTGCCCATAATTTGTCCCAAAGTTATTGGTTAATCTTGAGTCAGGCACCTTCCATTCTTCTGTTCAATTCTTTTACAAACAGGGCCAGGAGGAGTGGTGGGACTTCAGGGAATTGTCTCTGCAGCCCAGCGCTGACAACTCTTAGGTGACGTTGTGAAAATATTTCCTAATATACTAACATTTAGACTAAAAAATGGATTAGAAAAACACAGCAGGAAAAAAGGAGGCATGTATTATTTAGTTTCAAGTACACTAAGTAACCTTCTTTGCCATTTAGAAAAATCCAATTAATTCTCAGGAAGTTTGCATTATAGGGAAGATGGCTGTCTGAATAAGGACTTCTGCTTGTCTGATCAAGCTGCTGAAGTTTACTCAGGAATTTTTCCTGGACATATTGTTTCTATTTTCTGACTGAAAGGTTCCAGCCACATTTATGTTCAGAAGCCATTCCACTACAAAAAAGACATTCACTTCTCCACATGGTTTCAAAACTTTTCAAACTGAAACATGCTCCCACATGCTTTAGGATAGGTGATGTATTTCATGTTCTAATATTCATAACTCCTTCAAAGTAACAGGAACAGAAAGAAATCAAAAGATTTTACAAATATTGGGACCTTTGTTATCAATGTGCATAGCTGTGCACAAGTCTTACTGTGTTTGCAAACTCTTTTTTGCAGGTAGAAATGAACACATGCTAAAATTGGTTACATGTGATATGCAGTTGTCACATTTAAGAGAGTAACCCAGACTGCATAGAAAGTACAGTTTCATGGACAATCTCAGAAGTATTCTGAACACCATTCATATCTCACAGGAGATTGCCTTCAAGGTTAAAACCATTCTGTTCTACCGAATCTCAACTAATCCATACTGACCTCCACAGTTTCCTACCATGGGTAAGCTCATGCCTTTCAGCAAAGCTTGACTTAACTCTCCAGTCTGAGAACATGTTACACCCTCAGGTTTCCCAAGACTCACATCCAGCAGGTACCTGCCTGCACAATTCCCTGGTGCTCTTACCTGCCGGGTGTAACGATCAACTTGAGACTGTGCAACAGGAGACAACTCAATATCCTGAGCTCCATACACCTTCTGAGCAATGATCCTTATTTTTTCAACAATAGGAAGCTGCAGAGACAAGGAAACAATGCAAGGATGAACACTGGCCAAGAGAAACTAGGGTCTTGTTTGTTGAGTGAGGTCTCTGAATCTCTCATTAAAATTCATCCCTGTTAAACAGGCTTGCTAAAGCATGAGACAAAGTAAGGAGCACTGGTGATGGATATGACACACAGCTACAAGTACATGAACTAACCCCTGTGATTTCAGCTACTCCATCATTTGGAAGCTGCACGTTTTGTGCATTACAGAGTTGACAACATGAGCTTACGCTAGCCTGAAGTGGGGGAAGAAAATTATTACCATCTAGTTATGAGACCGAAGAGATAAACTACGCCTCAATCTCCATTTCAGAATAAAGATAACCTACACGAGTGGACAAGGCAAGGTAGGAGGCAGTCAGCGAAGGGTCCCCTGAGAAGCAAGGAATTGTAGCAGAAAATTCCTGACCCAACATTCCTCCTTTGATTGTGATTTTCTTTTAATACTATTATTCTTACCTCCTATCCTTTCTAACATGCATATTTTTAATTGTAGCTGTAGTGAAGCACTTTGGACACTTAAAAAAAAGAATATAAAAGCATTCTAGAATTCATTTGAAATCACCAAGTTCAATCCCAGTCTCCAAGAGTATTCACATCATGTTATTCAGCTCAAACTGAACAAGTTCTGCTTTCACATGTTCTATTTCAAAACAGAAGCAGACTCTCACATTCAATCTGTTAGAAAACCCTTAACAGATTTTCACGAAACACTTTTTTTTTTTTTATGGTCAGATCAGGCATTTACTTTTTGTGCCATAATTTTTGTGTATTTAGAGTAAACAACTCTTTCACATTTCCTTGTTCTCTTTCCTTTTGTTTTTAATGACCCAGGAGACAGCAATTTTGACTCATCTGGCCTATTTTAAACATGCCATTCTTTAACTTCTTTCAATAGGAACAGGATGATGGAGGAGGGATATTACCACGAGTTCAGATAATTCAGTGCTGACTACAAATGTTCAGAGGTGTGTGCAGTATTAAAGGGAATATCTCATCAGTAACTTGTAGAATATTTAATTAACAACACACGTGGAATAAGAGCTAAACAAAATCTAGAGATGATCACTTGAGGAAGAAGACTTAAATACAAAAAGCAATATAAAAAGCACCAGAACACAAAAGTGTATCATTTTATTCTAACAAAGGCAAGAAATTAATTAATTTGTGAACAATGAACTCTATCTGATACATTTATAAGAAGTTCCACAGTTAACCACATTTTTGCAATGCCTGTATGGAAGTAGTTCTTTTTCTGCAAAGATACATCAGTTGAAGGGTTTATGTCAGGCCAATCTTTTTTGTATTTATGATTAAATTTTAGAAAAACTAAAGCTTACATTAATAAAGAACTCCAGTAACAGAAGTATCACAAGAAAAGAACCTCTCCAAACTTCCAAGTATCTTAAGTGTAAGGTAGTTAAAAACTACTAAGGCTCTTAGTATTCCCCCTCAGTTCTGAAATTTCAAAGACAGGTTTAAAGAAGCTTCACAAGATACTTTCTGAACATGCTCACTATACAATCACTGCACCTTAATTGGGTGGAATAATGTCACATTCCCAACAACAGGCTTTTTACAGGAATCAAAGCAGTGCAAAAAATTCTAATCAGGACTGGAGATAGCACATTGCAAATAGCCCGGGTATAATTCTTGGCAGCAGTAAGCTGAATGGAATACTTAGTGTCATGGAGACCCATCACGAGATGAAATTTGTCTCAGGGTGATTATTAAATACATTCATATCCATGGCAGTTTTCAACACAGTGGCAGAAATGCAAAACATGTCTGTTAATTTGCCTTTTGGGTGCTGTTTGCTTGCAGTAAAGGACTAACAGCAATGGCAAATTGGAAGGCAAAAAGAATTCCATTCCCTGTTGTCAGCGGGCTAACATGGAAACTAACAGCTTTCTGCTTAAACCTCAGTAATTTCATTGAGATGGAGATGGACATTTAGATTCAACTTGCATTTGTGTCAAAACATTTCAAACTAATTGGACAGCAGTATAACTACTGCGCCTTCAGCCCCCTTCCAATGATCACAGCTGTATTTTCCAAAAGAATCCCAGCAGGGCTCTGGCTAATATCAGAGGAGAATGCTTTAATGACAGTGGTGGCACTTTGCTTCTCCTGGGATACGTGCAATGTATTGCATGACTGAGTCTGAGCTGGACAGTCAAACCATGTCCCTATGGATTTATGGTTTTTTCTTTTTTTCCCCTGGTTTGTTTTTTCTTTAACCAGAATTTCAGATACTTTTTGGCTCGGTATCCACACCTCCAATTTTGCAAATGTAACCTCAGAAGAATTGTCATTGAGGAAGGAGTTGTGGGAGTGTAAATGGCAAAAAAAAGTGGCTTCCTGAGACTGTCATGCTCTTGCTAGACATGCGCACACAACCAGGTGAGGCAATGTGTGCATGGTGTCAGAATCTCAGCAGAGGCAAGATGAGTCTTGGCTGAGCCAAATTCAGACAGAGACCAGCAGGAAGGCACAGATGTACTATGGACATTAACATAGCCCATGCACATGCACACTCTCAGATATGCTTCCTTCCTGAAGTTTCAAGAGTAGGGAAAGGAGTACTCTACACCATGCTAAGGATCCACCTGTTTCCTAGTATTTAGAGTGATTTTTAAGGCATTATCTATTTAGAATCACAGTGTAACAGGGCATTTCAAGCTAAAAAGTTTCTTGTGTTTCAGTTATCAAGTAATACTGCTGGGAAACTTCACTTTAATTTAAAGAAATGTTTTCCAAACTAAAAAAACACCTAATGCTTTACACAAGAAATAAAAATTATTTTTTCTTGAAAGTGCCATAATGGTATTTTAACAGAAAAGAAGTTCTATTTATTCAAGAGGCATTTTACCTAACAGAAACCTGGATTTACAAGACACTTGTTTGGCTTTAGGTTTTCAACAAAACTGTTGATTATTCAGCACTTCACTATCAAAACAGTCTGACTGATGGGCAGAGACATCCACCATATGTAGCAACAAGGCTAATTCATATGGAGAAGGGAGCTAAAAAATTAAACTCATATTGCACAAATAACTAAGTCATTAGGGGATTTTAAGCTGGATTTTTGCTCCAGCTGATACCACACTTACCTAGAAAAAAAAATCATGTGAATGATCTGTTTGTGCCTCATATACTTTGGTCAGATGTCTGCCAGCAGAAACCACATATCTCAGATACTTAAAAAAAAGAGTAATTTCACATCTGATGTGGTTTGGGAATGGTACTCTCTAATTCAGTGTCCCCACCAAGACTCTCCAGGAATGCCTTCTCCCAGGAAGAAACTCCTTTTCCCCTGCCCCCATAATGTGACATTGTGCAGAATAACCTCCTGGCCAACTACTCAATAACCTCCCTTCCAACTGCTGCAAAAATTAACCATGTTCAGGTCAGAAGCAGGACACCAACTCTCACTTTTTCTTTTGTCTGAGAATTTTTTACAACAGCCTTAGGAATTTCTTGAACCAGTTGCTCATTCCCACTAGCAAACTCCAGTGCTGCACCCTTAGCTATGCTGATGCAACCACTTGCAGGCCATCACCTCCTTAAGGAAAGAAGGATTAACAGTCTCATCAGAATAGGGAGTGTTGATGCACCTCTATCAACAGCAACTTGATTCCACAGCACCTCTGCCACCTGGAGAGCTAGGGTGAGAAGGAAAGTTGTAAAATGTCCAGGGTGTCAAAAACATGAAAGATTTATGACCAACAATAAAAGCTATCCCTCCTCTCAGTTCCCTTATGTAAAGTTGTGACTGTTGCACAGCTAAGTACATTTAGGTGGAGCTTAGGTGACAGATAGGCAACAGATACTATGGATTTGGTTAGAACCTGACTTTTAAAGATACGCAACTATGTATTAGTACTACTGCTGAAGGAATTATGGCAGCTTCAGAGAATTCGTTCCAAATTAAATTTCAGCTTCCTGAGAAAATAGTGTCATAAAATACTTATGTAAATTTACATTGAATATAAGAAGATGCTTCAGGGCTACACAATACAAATATCTGCAGACAATTCATTAGGATTCTCTCAGAAACAACCAATCTTGCCACTCCTGCCAGAGAGAATGTTCACTTCTGAAGTCTCACACATTTAGAGCTACCAAAGCCATATGCTGCTTTTGAGGCAAGCACAAACACACGCTTGCTGAGGCTGCCAAACACCCACACCATAAATAGGATTGTCTCCTAGGCTAAAGCATAACAAGTGCTAAAGCACAAATGGCTTTCACAAAAACAGTATCTATGTAGCTGTACATTTCATTACTTGATAATGATTAAACCACAAAATCGCCACTGATAAAGGCAAAAGCCTGTCATTCCCAGGACTGTATTGATTATCTAAACCAAATCATACCAGTGTTATCATCTAGCCATACTGCCACTTCTAGTTCATCTCACTTGTAAGACATGGTATTAGTGCCAAGTGGTGCTGTTTATTACAAAATCTTCTTTCTTCCCTTACTATTGACAGCAATGCTTTCACTAAAACATAATTTAATAGTACTTAATTTCTGCTAACCTTTTCTCACATTTTTTTCACTCTTCATCTCTTCCTTCACTTCTAACAGTTGACTTCAGATTATGAGTTTTTCATGTAGGGCTTGATGAGGATTTGCATGGACAGAAGACCAGCTACAATAGATCTTCCTTTCATCCTTGTTTCCTCTGCTGCTCACACCCATGTGCCAGCGCAACTGAGGTAGCACCACTGTTTGTGCAGCTGCACATACCAGAGACAGTCATCCAGGCTAAAACATATCCCAGGGAAAAAACCCTATTGCAATCCATATCAGTTCACACATCCACCTTATCATAAAGGCAAAGCCCATGTGAAGCAGGAAAAGTTGCTCAAAGTGCTGCAATCTGAGCACTGAAAGGTACCAGCAGAGAAAGCGAGTTGGGGCAGGGAAACACACCTTGGCTGGGATTCCTGAAATCAGTCT